AGGATGGAGTGCAGTGCAGTGCCATTGTCCAGTCCCATGTCCATCTGCCACTTGTTTCGAGTGTGTTTACGATAGTTGGGGCTCCACTCTCTCCCTCTCCATCTCTACTGTTGGGTTATACAATTTTTGTGGGCAGTGGTAGCTCTAATGACTTAATCCAGTTGTAAAACTTACATTACAGTGCAGTATTTTCATGCCATTAGAGGTGTCTTCCTTAAGTTGGAACAGAATGTGAGATAAAAATTATATATGCTTGCCCCATGATTGCTTTCTGATGAAAAATAAACTGAATTCATTTATATTTAATTCAATTTTATGAATATTTAAATACGTATTTCATATATTTATTGTATATTTAAAGCAACCAAATTCTCTCTAAGAGATTCCCCTTTTATGGCAAAAAATTATATGAGAATTGAATCAAGCAGCATCGTAGACCAATAAACAAAATATATGCAAAATATACGATATATCCAAATGATTTTAGCATAAATTTGGTCAGCTTAGAATCATAAAAACAGAGCAAAAGTGTTAAGGCATGTTAATGGCTTTTAATGGCATCAAAGTGCCGCCTGCCTCCCAAAAATCCATATTTATGCATGAACAAAAATATTTATATGTGTCCATAGTATAGTATGCAAAATGTTTTACAATTTGGGGAAAAATATTTACGTTATCTCAATTAAAGAGTGGGTAAAAGCAACGGAAACGAAAAAAAAACTAAACAAAATTCAATGGGAAAAATCATTTTGGTCATCAATCATTCCGTAGAAGAGGCAGGAAAAATTCAAGGAAAATGCTCAGGCATCCTGTACCGAAAACACAATCCAACGGTTCGCTCATCAATTACACATACGAATAGATAGATAGATATATGCGTGTATGTATATTTTATTTATATGTACAATATATAAATCTAACTGCGATTGGTTTACATGGAGAAATGTGTTCTAGAGATATTTTTCGGCAAAGCAATTGCAGCAGCAGCTGGACAAACACGATAAGGATGTCGGTGCCGATGTCGATGTCGATGCCGATGCCATGGACCCCCAAAAAATACAGGACATACATTGATTCAATTCTGCAAATTGCATTTCGGAGGATGCCTCCCAGACTGTAGACTGTAGATGAAAATTGATTTTTATCTTTTGTCAAATGGGTGTAACAGGAAATAATTGCTTCGATTTGCATTCTGTAAATGAACTTTCAAACTATCATGGAATTTCTAATTGCTTTTAGTAATATTTCTTTTGCTCTTGCAAGAGGAAGAAAGCTCCCATCTGAGGAGGTATTGAAGTACCACATCCATTTGCATGAATGTAAACGGGAGCCTCCACAATCCATTAGCCAGGCTCCAACGGGTTGAAATTCAAGGATACCCAGTATGTGTGCCCGAAATTATAAGTAGCACAGGATAAAGGGATGAGATGTAAAGGATATGGATATATGGTGGAGATAAAATGCCAGCGACAGCCAAAAAGAACGGGCATGGAACCCAAAAAAAAAAGAAAAGAAAAGGACTACTCTCTGCCATTATTATGGGTGGTTTCTGCGTTCGTGCTGCAGCTGCTGTCGCTGTCGCTCCTGGTAATGTCATGCAAAAACTCAATAAATTTTGCGCAAACGATTTATCATGAGGTTGATTACGAAAATGCAGACACAATCACAAAATTTCTATGTGTGGGCCACACACACACACTTAGCAGAGACACACAGACAAACACAGAGCCGCAGTCGCATGCATAAAATAATATGGCAATATTATAATAGACATTCAACATAAGCATCAGCCAGCAACAACAGCAGCCCCTATGGGGCTCGAATTTACAGGTACCCTGGAAGACACATTGATGGAGAGAAAGGTGGATAGATGGATAGATGGATAATCATTTAACTAAAGTTTTTGGCATTTTCTCGAAGGATACAACAGTCCTTTCATGGAAGAAAATATGTCATAATAGTCTGGATTGGATCAAAGCCTATAAAATACCAAGATATTGCATAAGGCACAAATCCCATTTCATGGTATTTCAATTCTTTTTTGGGCTATCCTTCGCCTCTGACAGCGGTACCGCGGTACCTCGGGCAGCTGAGTCGGTCCCCAAAATCCAACAACAAAATACCCAGTCTTTGGCGACGTGCAAATGCTTGGGCATGACACAGCAAATTGATAATATCGCCGTTTAGAAATGCGCGAACTTCTCTAGTAAATCATAAAACCCTCTCTTTGCCTCGGGTAAAGGGTATGGTATGGCCCTGACTTGCCATTTTTCACATGTCAGAGCATTGATTTGCAGTTGTTGCCACAAAATGGCGGCCGGGGTGTACCGTTAGTAACCCACTAATGGATTGTTGTCCCATCATCCATTCATGTGTTTTGTGTGTGTGCGTAATGGCTGCTCTTTTCGGGTACTTTCCCTCCGCTGAGCGCCCAAACCATTTTCTGGGTTCAAGAAAGGTTCAACAACTAAATTAACATAAATTGTGGCATGAAAATTGACAACAGCGCATTCGATTATAACCATAGATGAAGGGCCTGGAAGGTGACATGTAAATGTGTTTGGGCAGGGGGGGGGAGGTGGGTGGGGGATCCTTTAAATAAAGGACATTAACAGGTCTCGCTTTGATTTATGAATGGATTAGACGGGGGTGGGGCGAGAAGGGGTGTGCCCAGGATGGAATGCAAATTAATAAATTAATATTTTATAATCGAATTTCGTTCGTGATTTGCATATTTAGTTCGGTCGCAAAGGATGCCAGGGCATTTAAACAATCGCTCAGAGTCCTGTGTGTGAGCGGGTACTCACACGTAATAACTGCAGATTGTCAGAGCTGCCAAAGAGTGTGTGTCCAACGAAATTTAATTTACTGCACACGCACGCCGCACGACATCGATGCACTTTTGGCCAGGACTTGACATTCCCCCAGCGCGTGTCACTTTGGCACCACACGAAACCCCCGAAAGCCTCAGCCAAAGGCCAACCGCACCAAGTGGACCGGAGACCCCGATATCCAACCCAGTGTCCAAGTCGAGGCCCAGTAAATTAATTAACTTTATTGTCTGAGCGAGCTGCTAGGATGCCTTGCCTGCTGGGGGCGGGCGTGTGCGTGCGCGTGTGTGTGTGTGTCCTGTGGCGTAATTTGATTAAAGAGCTCTAACAGCAGTATATATGTATCTTTCCAATATACTGTACGTATATTTCCTTATCAGTTTGATGGCAGCATTTATCATTTTTGGTACAAGTTTGAAAGGAAAATATGCCATGGCTGTCATTAAAGATGAATCATTCGAATGAATAGATGAATTCTCTCTATTCTAATTTAATAGACCTAAGCTAATGGACTTTAGAGCAGAACTCAAGGCAGAGGCAGAACATTATCTCTGATAAATATTGACAAAAATGCGAAATTAAATTAAGCTGTCTCCAGGGAAGAGTTTTCCCGGAGGAAAGGAGTGGGCTATGCAGGAGATTTGTTTCATAATTTATTTAGAAATATTGATGGAGAAAAGTTCTTATGTTGCAGCCCGAAAGTATGCAATAAAAAATATACAAATTCAGATGGAAAAAATCGTAATTTAAATATAATACATATATATTTTACAGATAATTAATCCTATTTTTTTTTTTTGTGGTGTTTTTTGTATATATTTGTTAATTAATGAACAAACTACTTGAAAATCTGATTACAAAGCCTGCTGTGGCAGTGTGGCACAAAAGCGCACTTTCGCACTTAAAAAGTTGTCCCTCCTTTTTGTTGGACTTATTTTGTATGCACATAAATTGCAGAAGGACCTGGCGGAAAGAAGCAGCCCCAAAGAGACAGGCAGAAACGAGAGGGAGACACGAAAGTACAATGAAAAATAAAATAAATTAAGGACTGTACTCCTGCTGAAAAGGTGAAGTCGATGAAAATGCATCGCAAATTTTTCGCTGAGCTTTTCATGTCGCTTCATGTCTGCCCCTTCCCCCCCTCCCCCCACAACCCTGGCGCAACGAAATAAAAAGGAAAATTTCCCCAAATAAAAATAAATTTAAATATATAAAAAATAGTAGGACAACGGACCCCAATTCTGAGTTGATTTGCAAGTTAGGGGCAAAATTTAGGGGACTCCCCTTTGCATTCATCATTCTCCTCAGCATTCACCTCAATTTCCACTCCTTTTCCACTCACTCAGACGCTCCCTCATTTGATTTGCCCCGTGGATTTTTTTCCTTGCTTGATTTTAACGAATTACATTTATTCCTGCACATAGAAATGGTAAAGAAACTATCGCAGATAGTGCAAAATGCAGCGGGGAAAATTGAAAAAAATTCTCCTCGTAGTTCACTTGGTATTCGATTTGCAAACAACAAGAAAATCCTCGATACGATTTGCGAAAAATGGAACAAGAACCCAGGGGGGGGGGGCGAAGTCCCTCCTACTCTGATGATGAACTGATTTATGTTTGCTTACATTTCTTCTCACTTTTCCATTGCACATCCTGCCATTTTATTTGCCCTAAAATAAACGAAATTCGTTTTCACTTTGGCCATTGCAATTTTCATTCGAATGGAAAACGTGAGTTCAAGCACTGATCATTGCTACACGGAATAATCGCAGGAAAAAAAAAATTCTGAATTAATGCTTGAACGATTTTAATTTTAGGAAAAAAACAAAGAGACTCCCAAAAAATTCGTGGAAATAATTGTGGAATCTCATTGCCAGTTCTTTAGGAAATTCCTCATCCCTAGGGATACAAAAAATACTCAATATATGGTCAATTTTCCCTTCTCATATTATTGCTCTGAATTTCCTGAATCATCAGCAAAAGAGAAATAATATACAGGCCATTACTCAAGAGAATTCGCACTCCGATAAGGGCCACCCACACATCATATGGGATAAATATTCATATATAAGTTCCTTATACAGCGGTCACTGAAATCAGTTCAACTTTGGTTCCACTTCAGTGAATAGTCCCTACAAAATATCGAGCAAATATTTAAAATGAAATTTTTAACATTTTCAATGGCTCTTCTGATGATGTTGTACCTAGTCGGTGGGGCAATGGAAGAAAACTGGTACAAAATAATACTTATATGGCAGTCGAACAAGTGAAAAACTAACAAGTGTTTTGGTTACCCCACAGCCCCACGCCCAGGCCGAATGCCAAAATCTGGAAGTGCGATATAACCAAATCAACCGAATACGGAAATCAATGACCAGTGGAAAATGTTTAAAGTGTGCCGGCTTCTAATAAATATTTATTGGCACAGAGTAAAATTTAAAACCATGTTCGATTTCAAATAAAAATAGAATCAAGGATTGAACAAATCTTAAATGATGTCAAACTGTGATCTGTGCTTAAGAATATTTAAATTGCAGTATTTCCCTTCCGCAAATGTAGAATTTTTACAGGTTCGCTTCCAAGTAATATCGTAAAACACACGTGAATGCAATAGCAAGTTTTTTACAAGCTAGAAACCTGTATTAACGCATTCATCGTAGATTCCATAGAACGCTTGTCAATCAAAGGCGATTAGCAAACGGGTTCTACACTTCTGAAGAACAGAAGCATTCATTCCCTGGCTGCACCGCTAATTGAATCTGAAACTTGAGAGCTAATCTCTCAGTTTCTCTGGCATTACGCTGGGTTGGGAATTCCACAGACAGAACAGGGCAAATCCACCCGTAGAGCCGATTATACGGGTTTCCCTTAGCTGATAACAAAACGATCGTGGGGCAGCGTATAAAAGCCAATGAATGCCACTGGTCCAGACATCAGTTCAGTTACAGCTTCTGTTGCAGTATCTCTTCAAAGATGAAATTCCTATCGCTTGCCTTCGTGCTCGGCCTCTTGGCTCTGGCTAATGGTAAATATCCACGGAATATATAAAAGTAAGTTCTTTAAATTAATCAAAATACTCTCTTTGTTTTTAGCTACCCCTCTGAATCCGGGAAACGTCATTATTAATGGCGATTGCCGCGTTTGCAATGTTCGTGGCGGAAAATGAGGCCTGAATCTAATCGCATACACAATTTCTTATCGACCTTTTGCCTCTGACGTTTACAAAATAAAATTCCCACACTAATCCCTATGGAAAGTGAATGAAACAAACATACATATTTCTATTTAACCTCTGACCTGATTCCTGCAAGTGGCATGTGGCATGTGGCATTAACATTTTCGCATAATCTTTTGGAAATGTTGCAAGGTCCGACTGGGGCTTTCGTTTCATTGATTTGTTGTAAAATTGTTGCATAATTTCATTAATTTTCTGCTGCTCGGCTGCCGCACTGTTGGGTGCTTTATTGTCTGGATTAAGGAACATAATGTACACTTAATATGCACATAACTGTTATGTTAATGCCCCCAGCCACACACACGCACACACGCAGAGTCCACCTCCCTCTTCACTCCCCCTCGGGTAGGTGGTAGGTGTTGCTGTCATTGATTGCGATTTTCTTTTTCCCCGCTTCTGGCGTTTGCATTTGCATTGATTTATTAGCATTCTCCACCGCCCCCCACCCCCCGCCGAACATCGAACCGAATGCAGAAAATGTGTCGCAAAACTTTTCAAGTGTTCCTCTCCCGCTTCAGCCTCTTTTAAAAATGCATAATAATTAATGCGATATGTTAATATGTATATATAGCTGGTCGGAAATTATAATTTCATCAGTTCATTCAGATAATTTGAGCAGCGAAATGAAGCTTATTTAAGTGCTCATAAATCCCAATTGGCGGTGCTGTGTGCCTGGGGAATAATGTATCATGAAATCGATTGGCAAACGGTATAAATATCCATGTCCATTTTTATAAAGCTCAATGTTTATGATTGGGTGATGAGAGATGATTGAATAAAGAACAAAATAAGCATACATTACGGTACATGAAGGGTACCGGTGTAGTCTCGTTTCTTGGTTCGTAATTTCAAAGAGCTAGAGAGCTGCGGTGCACATTAATGTCGCTATTTTAGCTGAGAGAGCGATAGATGACATCACTGAGAGAGAGCAATGTAATGAAGCTATTGGGAGAGCACGTGCATGGCGTGAGATTGAGAGCGGTGCTCGTGAAACGCAAAGACGAGGCCCGCTTTTCGAGACGATCGATCGAAACGAGCAACAAAGTGTAGATTGCCCTGCGCTCGCATTGTTGTTGTTGTTGATTCTCAGTGAGCAAGGGAACGAAGCAATCAGGAGAGCATGTGCATTGCGTGTGAAGAGAGCAAAGCTCGTAGATGCAATAAAGATCAAAAGATAAGACTATTGCGCCTGCACTGCTCTCAATGCACAAAACAGACAAAATGCAGAGTGATTATCGGTGTGCCGGGTGCCCGATGAGTCAGGATCGATCACGATCAGGGTACAGAAAACAGCAACAAAGTGTAGAGCAGAGCAGTGAATACAAGAGTTGCAAAATTGCAAAATTAACAACTTACGTCCTAGGAAATTTTCAAGACTCTTAATATATTTGAAAAGTATTTACCCCTATTATAAAATTTAAGGCCGAACGAAAACAGACTTCTTGTCTGTTTCCTAAGTTCATCAAAGCTTACCTGCAATGAAAAGTAAACGAAAAAATACATTAAAATTTTGTTGATTTAAACATTGAAAAACCTTTAAATATAATATATTGAAAACCATATCAAATCTTACAATCAAAATCATTGAAGATGCGTTCTTTGGCACCTTTTCAAGCGTTCAGCTCAATGCATTCGCTCTAAATTTCGGGATATGTAGATTTATGTCCCTGCAGCGCAAATCATCAAAATGCATTTTGAGTGCATTTTTTTTGTTGGGCACACAGAAAATTCCTTTTCACTTTTGAACCACAAACACAGAGGCACACAAGGGCAGGGTGTGGATGCCATCATCATCAGAGCAGCAGCACACAAACGAGCGGTCGGAGCCAAAAAAACACGAGTGGGTGGGGAGTGCGGGGGGAGTGGGGGGGGGTAGTGGAAAATGCTCGTAATTTCAATACCAAAAGCAGTCCAATGCGCATAATTTTGGCTGGAAATGAGTGAACGGAAGTAGAGTGAATGGCAAATCCAGGAGGCATTGACTGCATTTCAGAGCAGCCTCACAGCAGGACTGACAGCCGCAGCCACAGCAAGGAGTCGAAATCTTGGCCATTTCGACGGCACTTCACGTCGTGAAGCGGCTTTATCTCGACCGATGCTTGGCATCATTTGTGGGCATTTTTTGCCCCCTTGCAGCTCTCCGGCTTTATGAGCCGATAATGACGTTAATGACGAGGAGGCCGATGTGTTGCATACTTTTTGGCAGCGCAAAATGATGCTGATGGGAAGGGGCGTTGCGGAGGGCGCGGTGTCTGGGACCAGCTCAAAGGAAGCGAAGTTTTCGGTTGCCTCTCGGACTTTCTGTGCACTTCCGTTTCTGTCTGTCGTGCAGCAAAATAGTGCAAGGAAAATGCCAAACAACTGAGCGCCATAAAGCATGCAATAAACATTTTATTGTAACAACTCGTTAAACGTAGAATGGAAAAAGGAAAAACAGCAAAAACAGAAGAAACGCCATGGCGAAACCAGTAAAGAAAAGGCCAACAAACTCCCTTCGAACGGACAGCCATTCAACCATTTTTTCCTTTGCTATTTAGCATAAAATTTACTGCACCAAGAAACATTTGGCGTTTACGTAGCAGGGTCCCAGGCCCCGGTCCGTAAATCCTACTAATCAAATTTATTACCCATACACACACACACACACACACACACACATAAAGAGGGACACAGACACTGGCAGACCAACCGCAAGGGTGGTCCCTCCCTGCCGCCCGACCGACCTTCCTTCGCTCCCCTTTTAACTGGTTCTGGGCGGGTTCTCTGTTCCCTGGACACTGGCCACTAGCCACTAGCCACTGGCCACTGGCCACTTCAAATGCCTTGGCAATATGCATATTAAATTTAATTAGAGCGACGGGGTAAACATAAATTTAGCCACAGGAAAAGCCTCTCTCGAAGGTTGTTTAAAGCTATTTTTTCAAAGATAGATATTTGTTAAAATATTCCACATTCAAATAGAAATACGGCTTTCCATATACGACTGTAGTTTTTATTAGATTTCGGTACTTTTTATTATGGAAATTGAGAAATGTGCTGCCTCGTATGTCTTTACGAGGGTTCTGGCTAAATTTTATAAGTATTTGCCACAATCTGATGCTTTTTTAATGCTGCCCGACATAAAAAACAAGCCATTGAGGCAAAGCAAACATCTCTATCTTTTACCCTAGAATATACACAATTAGTTCCATTACCATGTAATAGCCCCCTCTAATGTCTATGAGCCATACCCTTTCGATCGAACCCCAAACACAATTTGAAGGCAAATCCCTTTATAATTCGCCTGCCACAGCCACAGCCACAGCCAGAGCAGGTCCTTCTGGTGGATAGCAAAATGCAAGCAAAAATAAATTGCTGCGCCTCCAAACAAAAAAGTCCGCCCCAAAACGATGATGGCGTTTTCTGGCTAATTTTGATTATTTTACTGCCTGCTGGAGTGGGGGGACTCCACGTTAATTACCTCACAGACGACACTCGCTGGGGCACTGGCCCAGAGCGAGAGATAGAGAGATGCACAGCACAGCACAGCAGAGCACAGCAGAGCACAGCACACGCCCATAAACAATTTGTTGTGTGTGCACTCAATTTAAATGGATACCAGTCCCAGTCCTGGGATATGCCCTGATAGAATTTTGGTCTCGTTTTATGCTCTATCCAGATGGAGAGTGCCACCATGAATGTGACATTAATGAGCTCTCAGCTTATCCCAGAGGCTGCTGCCGACGGTAACTTTATGGCTATAATTTGTCCTTGAATTCGTATTGGGACACACTCCACAGAGGAAGAGGACGGGCAAGACAGAGTATGTTCATAATTAAATTGTTATTTGCATCCCCCACACCCCACACCACACACTCCGCACCCCGCAGCCCACCTGCTAACCGACTGCTTGGTGCTCATTTGAAGGTTATAAAAGGTCGCCCCACCACGCACTGTGGATTCGAGTGGTAACCCGAGCAGGGGATTAAAAAATTACTTTATTCGTAAACGAAATCCCCCTTTTGGATGTGGTGTGGTATGTGTGGCCATGGCAATCCCTTCTGGCAGTGGCCATCCAAAGTGGCCAACAGGAGACCCCTCTCTGTGTGTCTGTGTGTGTGTGTGTGTGGGTTAGTAAAAGTTTTTGATTTTCCAACAAAAGTTAAGCATAATCCCGGAGCAGGTAAGTCATCTGCTCAAAAGTTGGCCATAACTTGGCGTTAATTTCATTAACATCATTTGGCCAGAGAGACTTTTTTATGGCGCTGTGGGGAGGGACGAAAG